GTAAGGATGATCTTGACACTCAAGTAATGACGGTCAAAAGATAAAATTTTTACTGTTAATTTATTCGTAAGAAATCCACCAACAGCTGCTGTTAGTTGCAAAATCCATATATAATTAGATTTTTATTTTATTTTTTGGTAAATTAATTAGCTTTATTAAGATAGGAAGATGCCCTTTTGCATTTTGGCTAGCCGTTTCTTTATCAACAAATCAGTAATTAAATTGAGTTCTCAACAAATTATTATGAATCTAATTTTAATTTATTACTAATACAAAATACTTTTATAATTTCTTTCTTTTTTTGAAAGATATTTTTATACTTTCTTTCAATCATAACTTCTCATGCTATTAAAAGAAGTTTGCTTTCCTAAAATTTGATAATACGAAAATAAAATTTTATCATAACATAAAATTACAATGACACCCAAGAATTGTTGACACAGTGGCATTCCAGTTATATTCAAGGATATGACCTGCTCAAAGGATAATGAATTCTATTTATGAGAGTCACAATTTCCAAAAAGAAAAGTGAAAATACTTAAATACGAAATCAGATTAGTAAGGCCTAATAGGATCTTGAATACCGGTTGGTAATTAAAAAAATTACAATCATAATATATTAAAATTAAACTCTACATATAATTTTTTTTTTTTAAATATATTCTACAGCCATATTCTGTCTGAATAGGACCTCCACTGACGAAGCACTCCTCCTTAAGCCTCATTCATTGCCTGTAAATTGGAACGGTAATTTTCTCCTGTCACTTATCGTATTCTTTAATCATCTTTCGCTTTTATAAGTTAGGTCCCTTTATCAATTTAAAATAAAAAAATATCATTATTATTATTATATAAATAAAAGAAGTTGAAACTTTGGGGGCATACGCAGAATAATATACCCAATAAAAACAAGAAAGCAAACAAACCAATATATAAAAAACGTATAGTTGCGGAAAGCTAGTGTGCAATCAATACTCGTCACCCTATAATATATTTTTTATTATCTTTCTCTTAAATAAAAGCACAAAAATCAAGTTTGTTCTTATCTCATCCTAATTTCTTTAACATTTTTCTTTCTTGCTAACTTGACTAAAACTATTTGATGCAGCATGACTTTCTAACCTGTTTAAAAATTCTCAAGTTAATTGCGATTTTTCCTGTCTTTTATCCATATATATATATATATATATATGAGGCATGTTATATTTTCAAACTTTTTTGTTTACAAACTCTTACAAACTACACTATCTTCTCCTGGCAGAACACTGGTTACCCTATGTTTTCTCGGGAGAACATAATGTACTTTGTAAAAAAATTCAAAAAAATTTTGTAAACGAATCCTTCTCATATATATATATAGGAAGAATCGTTTATAATTTTTTTTTATAAATTATACTAAGTATGACCGGTCATACATTCTTGATTGAAGTATGACCGATATACTTATTGTAACTTGTAAGAATTTGTAAATAAAAAGTTTGTAAATATAATCTTATATATATATATATATATATATATATATATATATATATATATAGGGTAATATTACTCTCATGTTGTATGAGGTAATATAACTTTCTACGGACCCATCGATTTTCGTGCTTTTCTTTTTCTTTTTTAATAAATAATGGGGTCCACTACATGATTGCATCTACAACATGAAATAATATATTTCCTATTACATGAGAGTAATATAACACATATATATATATATATATATATATATATATATATATATATATAGGAAAAATATTTGTCTTTTTAAAGGATATAATTTTATGTTCTTTTAGATCTTAACCGTTGATTTACGGAAATCAATTGTTAGGATTTATTGGGTCAAACTTATTAATTAATTATTAATTTACAATAAAATCAAATAAATCATAACCGTTGATTGACGGAAATCTAAAGTTAGAATTTAAAAAGACACAAAATTATATTATTTAAAAGGACAAATGTTTTTTTCCATATATATGTATATATATATGAATATATTTTTCTTATGTTGTAGAAAAAAAATTATCTCATGTTGTAAAAATAAAAGTATAAGTGGGACCACAGATAAGAGGGGTGAGATCCAACTCTTTTTGTGTGTGTAGGAGAGTTGTTTATCTCATGTTAAATGAGATAAACATAACCCATATATATATCACATATTTTAAGAGGACAAGCAATCCTTGCCAGAATTTCGGTAATTGGTAAGATCACATGCCTAGTTTTAACTGATGTGCAGGACGAATAGAATATCCGAAAATGATTATTTAAAAAAAATATTTTGTTTTAAAAATAAGTTATAATACCAAACACATACGTAGATTTATTTATATAAAATTATTAAGCAACTTTAAAGTAGGCAATACTGATAGTAGTAGGAGCATGATTGGTGAACATGTTTATGGCTGCCTTATCAAAACCAAAGACTTTAATGTTAGGAACTGTTATATTACTTATAAAGATATAATATTCGAAATAAATTATTGATAATATATTGATTATTAATTTTATTATATTTCTAAAATATTAAAATTAATAAATAAAAATAAGTATTTGACAATTTATCTTAATATTTTTTGAAAAGGAAAAGTTATACTTATTATTATTATTTTTTATCCGACGATCAATATTATTATCTTGAATCAAAATTAAATCAACGATTATTAAATAATATAAAATGAGAGTTATTGATTTAATTTTGATTAAATAATAATAAAATAAATAGTAAAAAATATTTAAAAAAAGTAAAATTAAACAATGATAAGTATAATATATCCCTTTGAAAAAAAAAATAGGCATCGCCGTTTGTTGTGAGATTTTTAAGAAATATGTACAACCTTCAGTTTCAAACAGGCATGATTCCACTATGCGCTTAAAATAAGCATTTTATTGGGAAAAGATAATTAACACTATTAAAGAGGAGGGGGCACTCAATTTTATACTCAAACATGTGCAGCCACTAAGAACCAGTGGTCATTTAAGCACATGATGTACTAAGGACTGAGGTAGCCCTCCGTGTAGATATTTAGGTTTAGATTAGCGAATATAATATCATTTTGAAAAAGAAAAAGTTTAAAGAGTAAACTCCACGCAAAAAACAATAACTTGTAAACTACACGCAAAAATAAGGAAGTTATTTTTTTTATATTATTAATAAATTATTATTACTTTGATATTGTTGGATTATTTAAGTGTGATGAATCTCACTTTAGGTTGTGACATGATGTCGGATTCAATCGGTGTATTTTATCCTCTTAGCCTATTGGTGAGAGTCCATTTGCTATGGGCTTCTCTTGGACCCGCCTGATAGTGGTATCAGAGTCTGGTTGGACTCGAACTAGGTAGAAGTCGAGTTGAATACTTAGGCCTATGGTACTCGGTATTAGTACCATAGAAAAAAATTAAGACATATAATGAACTTGTTTGATTGTGTTCTGATTTTTTTATTCTTAAAACTATTTTGTAGAATAATAATGGAAATAGTTGTTTTCTATGCTTTTTTTTGCTTTGAAAGTTAAAAACCAAAACAGAAAATAAAAATAACTCAGATATCTTGTCTAAATTTGATTCTAAAACTAAAAAATAATTTTCATTTTCATTTTTTTTTTTTACATAACAGGCCATACCAAACGAATTTTTTTTTTATTTTTGAAAACTAGAAAAACTATTTTTGAAAACAGTTATCAAACAGAGCTTACAATTTGAATTTTTTTTGTAGTTTTGCGTTAAACAATTTGCAGTAAAAATTATAATAACAATAATATGAGATTTGTTTGGACTAATTGTAGGAGAATTTACAAAAGGAAAAAAAAAAAAAAGGTGCTTGGATGAATAAGGTGAAGAGTTAGGCAAGAGAAGAACTTTGAAAGTAGAAAAGAAGCCGTTTGAGATAGGCAAAGTTTGGAAGATGGAAGAAGCACTGTGCTGAATATTTACTAATTTGTTGGTTCATCATTGATCTCTCTCTATCTCTCTCAAATTAACTTTCCTTTGCAAGTGGAGGGAGAATTTATGAATGCCTTGCTTTACAATTTATTCCAGTGATAAATAAAGGTTTGTTTAGGCGTGAAAAAAGCGAAAGTGCGGGTCACAGTTCCTTTTCATTTTATTTTCCCGTTTTGCCTTTTTTTTTTTAATAAATATATTTATTCTGAATATTTGATTATGCCACTCAATACTTATCATTATTTTTTAATTATACCAACTTTAATTATCTCTTTAAGATGAATCTGTTTCTCATGTATCCTCACAAACTTCAACTCTTTGTGACAATTATGAAATTATTTTCGAATCGAAACTTAATACATTTAAAGCTCTTCACGACTTTTCAAAGATATATTTGAATCGAACCTAAATTTTTTTCCTATATACTCAATATATGTTACCAATTAAATTACACTTATTCATTCTTAATACTTATTACTTACAATTCATCCCATAACCCTAACTCCCTAAGGCTATTATGATATTGTCAAAATTATGGCTTGCCTTAAGAGACTGCCTACCATGCCTTCCTTTTCCTTTCAAGGGTAGTTTCTTTATTTCTTCGCAACCTATTTTACTTTATCATTCACCTAATAAAACCATATGGTAACATGTGTGGTGATTCTTTTTTTCTCTCTTTCTTTTTTGATTTGCCCATATTCACACAATATATATATATTTTAAAATTGCGGAAAGAAAAAGAAACCTCCTCCCAACAACTTTAATATTATTTAATATATTTCTCCACCAGATTCCAACCAAAACCACATAATTATTTCCGTTAAATATTAAATATTAATTCACTAATTTTTTATTTTTCTCTTTGCAGAATTCACTAAAATAATTTTTTATTCAGATTTCAGTATATCTCCTTTTCTTTCCGTTTATTTTTTTAATCTCAATTTGGACAGTCTTAGAAAAGTTAGGAATCCAATTACCTGAACAACAAAAACAAAGGATTCATTTTATCTGGCCATTTTCATTTCCTTTGGAAACTCAAAAATTCAAATTTCACCCTTTCTTTCTTCATAAATTTCCCCATCTTTTTGTTTTTTCTGAAAACTCGAATATTATTTTCCTTCAGAAAATTTTAGATCATAATCTTTTTTTTTTTTTTCCTGCTATTTTTTTTAATGACAAAATTTATGCAAATGGTGCAGAGTTGAGGACTTTCTACTTCTTGCTTCATGCTCAGCTTCTCAAGCTTTGAATTTGTTTTTTCAGCTTAAATTTTTCATCTTTTTTTTTTTAGTCTTAACAAAAAAAATCCCAGCATAGCAGTGGAGTTTTTGGTTTTGGTTTTGGTTTTTGGGTGATTGAGTTTGAAGAAGAAAATGAGACGTTGATGTGTGGTTTATGTTACGTGTGACTGACTTCATAAGTGTTTGAACATGGAGGCCAGTGGTGGCGTTAGTGGTGGCGTTACGGTGGTTGGATCGGATGCTCCGTCGGACTACCATGTAGCTCCGAGGACCGACAACCCAGCTCCGACAGGTGGATCGACGACACAGATTTCGGCGACGGCAACCCAAGTGAGTGCTCCTCCACCGCCGCCGCATACGGCGGCGGTGGCAGCGTCTCCGGCAGCCGCAAATATGCCGGTGAAGAAGAAGAGGGGTCGGCCGAGAAAGTATGCACCGGACGGGTCGGTGACCATGGCGCTGTCTCCTAAGCCTATATCTTCTTCAGCTCCGCTGCCGCCGGTGATCGATTTCTCGGCGGGGAAGCGCGGAAAAGTGAGGCCCGCTAGCTCAGTGAGCAAAGCCAAATTTGAGTTGGAGAATTTAGGTAATAAAGAAAATATCTTTCTTTCTTTTATTTATTTGCTTTTTTTTTTAACAAAAAAAATAAAAATAAAAGAAAATTAGTGTGAAGTGAAGTGTTTCTGTTTTGGATTGTGTTGTCACTGTTGTGTCAAGCTTATTGGTGTTGAAAATTGAAAATTTGGAGTCACTCTTTGCCTTATAAGCAAGTGAGTTCTGAAAGAGGTACATTGAGGATGTGGGACCTCTGATTGATTGGATGCCCTTAGTTATACTAATTGTGGTCTTGGTAATGTGCGGTAGTCCTGAAAAGTAAGTTGGCTTTGTGGGTCGGTGGAATCTCGTTATGCCTGTCATTTGGTAGTTCAAAGTTCGAACCTTGATCGTGGGAACCCAAATCTTTCTAGGTACATGTTAGGTACTATACCTGCTAGAAATCTGCAACATGTTGAACAGACTTGGACTAAAAAAACATGTCTTCATCACCCAAATAGGAGGAAAATAAAAATGCTGATTTTTTATTTTTTTTGGGGAGGGTTCTATTTTTTAGTTATTTGGTTTTGGTATGGTATTCTCGATGTTGCTTTCTTGGAATTGGCTAGAGTCATTGTAAGGACTTTAATATTGTTTTTTGTGTGTGTATTGTTTGTCGAAATCCAAGTTGGCATCAGCTCCTTTATGGTTTTATCACATCAACTCCTTTTTGGTTTTATCATCAACTCTATTTACTACTTAATAGTTAGCTGATGCAGTTACGTGGTCCTTCCTTCTGATACAGTTTACTGGATAGCGAGGCTGATTTGGAGTCTTAGGTTACTAATTACTTGCAATATAATGTTGTCCTGAGATTTAAATCGGCAAGTTTACTTTTCAATTCAATGACACAAAGAAAAAACGTGAGGTATAAATTGGAATAGTCTAGGCTTCGTAAAGTTATTTGTTGGGTGTAAGTTGGTAATCCGGTATTTAATGTGTATTTGATGCATAATCAATATCTGGGGGCTTTCTATAAACTGGTTTTGATAGAGCATTATTATTATTTTTAATCCATTTTCCCTTTTAATTTGAGCTTTCCTTTCGGCTTAATTTTTAATTCTGATAAGCTTCTATGCAGAGTTTTAAAGTAGATATTTGCAAATAGTGAAAATAACATTTAATTTTATAGAATAATCTTTTAAGTCTTTTCCCTTTGACTACCTGATGTAAGACGCGTACCCTCAAATTGCTGCGCTGTAGTACACTCTGTATGCTGTTTATACCAGAACTAAACTGATATAAAGAATCTTAAGATGGACTGTAAATAATAATCGCTTAGAATATTGAAAGTGTGTTTGCTGTACTTCCAAGTTCCATCAGTCTAGGACAAGAATCTTAATGTTATTTCAATTTTTTTAAATGGTAACCGAGGTCTGAATAAATACATTCTTTATTTGTCCTAAGTTGGAATGCCTTATGATAGAAACTCTGACTGTTTATCATTTCCAATTTGATTAATAATTTTTGAATTTTTTTACCTTTTTTTAGGTGAATGGGTTGCATGCTCAGTTGGTGCTAATTTTACACCCCATATCATCACTGTTAATTCTGGGGAGGTAAGTGTGAAAAATATCAATTGCTGTTATGCAATGCAATGAACACTTGTGATACTCATGGTCAGAGACCTGCCAAAATTATTGTTACACATATTGTCTGATATTTTTCTTGGTTAGAAGCATAACTTTCACTGAAAATAATCATTGCATCTATGATTTCTTTTATTCTTTCCCCCTTCAAATATTTCCTCTCAGTTGCTACTTTTACATTTTTTATTTTTTGGAGATGACAAGTTCTATGTTACATGCATGTCTTTTGTCATATGAAGTGAGCTATATGTAAGATGAGGGATTAATTATTTACAGAATGACAATGAGAATTTAACTAGCAAATAGTTTATACTTTATATGATAGTTGACAACTATTTTATTTTATTTTATTTTTTTGGGTTGTATTAGGATGTTACTATGAAGGTAATATCTTTTTCTCAGCAAGGGCCTCGAGCTATATGCATTCTTTCAGCAAATGGTGTCATATCAAGCGTCACACTTCGTCAGCCTGATTCTTCTGGGGGCACATTGACATATGAGGTGAAGCATTTGTGCAATTTGATAGTATCATTTTCTCTAATTCAACGAACAAAATATGGAATTTACTTGTACTTAATTGTCTTTTGTTTCTCGGTATATCTCTCATAGATGAAAATTGCATGCCAGCCACACTGTTATCATCTCAATTATATGATCGCCGTTAAACTTTAATTTATTTTAAATCATAATCTTTCCACAATGTTGATGATAACCTGTATGTTGTTCCTCCTATAATCGCAATGCATTTTGATTCCAGTTGTTTAGTTAATATTGATGTTTCATTGTTGATGATATGAAGTATATCTAATAGAAGGATGCATCTGTATGCATGCTGATGTTTTCTTTTCCATCTTATATTATTTGTTATGTTCTTTTCTCTCCTTATTCTTTGTTTTTGCATGAACAGCATTTTTTTTCCCGTCTACATTGGAATTGAACCTAGATCTTTACTGCACCCCACCCTTAGCAATCGAGTTTCTCCGAAGTAGTCTTTTGTCATTTGTGATATATGTTAAAATTTGCTATCTGATTCGCATGTAAATTGCACAATGACAATGCTTCTTGGCTGTGGTGTTTTTTTTTCATTTTTTGGTCATTGTTTGAAATTCTTGGATTCATTGATCTTTAGCATATCATGTCAACCTGAAAGTTAACTGGTCAAAAAATTGATGTTTGAAAATCTCTTAGCAATTGTGTTGACTCTAGATTTTCTTAAACTGCATATTAGAGAATGGTTCTTGTGGAATTATGTACAATCTAGTGGAAACCCTAGTTTTAATTAAAATTAATAGTGGAAAATGCTGTGCAGCCCGGCAGATCTGCCTGAACCGGTTTGTTTCTTGACCACTCAATTGTGAATGATGTTGGCTTAACCAATGAGCCATGTCATTCACTGTGATACTTAATTGCCTAAAAAACTTAATATGATGTGGAATAAAATGAATATTCTCTTTTCATTTATAGTTGAGGTTGTCATGAAACAGATGGTGTGAGAAGAGATTTTTCATATTATTCTACAATGTATTTAATGATTTACACGGTTTAAGAATTCTGCCACTCCTGCCTTTCTGAACTTTGTTTTTTCATTTCATTCATATCCTTTATTTTCCATGCTTTTGTCTTTGGTTTTATAGTTGCAGTGCAGTGCTCTTTGTTACTGCTGCTACTAACCCCAAAACAGTTTCATTGAACATGGTCAACCTGTTGCTTCTTTTCATTCTGCATCCATGTTTGAAGTTTTGATAGTTATTTTCTTTAGTCTAAAACTACTGCCGTCTATCACAAGTGCAAATTCCATCTTTCTTGCTGCCGTTTCTGCAGGGAAGGTTTGAAATTCTGTCTTTATCTGGCTCATTCATGCCAAGTGAAAGTGGAGGAACAAGAAGCAGATCTGGTGGCATGAGTGTTTCTTTAGCAAGTCCTGATGGACGTGTTGTAGGTGGGGGAGTAGCTGGTCTTCTAGTGGCTGCAAGTCCTGTGCAGGTATCTATTCTATTCATGAATTTATTCCCTTTTCTTTTTTTTAACCAGTGAAGTAAGCATAGGCCTAAAATCAGATATGTAACCAGCTAACATGATTCACATAGTAATGACCACTTGATGAAATTTTTATGTTACTATCTTGGATGAAATAAAGAGGGCGAGTCTTGAATAATGGTAATACTATTCCTTTATAAGTGAAAGGTCACACGGGTGTGAATATGGGAAATAGTCTCTTTGCAAATATATAAAGGTAAGACTATGTACAAGTATTTTCCACTCACACCCTCGCTAGTAACATGCATCAGCTAGTAATTAGTATTTGGTGGTAAGTTTATATTTGATTATGATCATTCTAATTTCTAATTGATCAATGTGTATCAGGTCGTGGTAGGTAGTTTTCTGGCTGGAAACCAACATGAGCAGAAGCCAAGAAAACAGAAACATGAGGTTATATCAACTGTGACACCAACTGCAATTGTTCCCATCTCTACTCTTGACCCAATACCTATTCTCTCATCATCAACTTCCTTCCGTGGAGATAATTGGTCTGCTATGCCAGCAGATGCCAATAATAAGCCAACTGATATTAATGTGTCACTTCCTGGAGGGTAATTGATAGTGCTTTGTCCCTTCTGCATTTATATTTGCCCCTGACATCGTTGTAATGGGATCCCTATTTGTTGGCTCGCGTTCCCTTGTTTGTTGTGTCTGTAAGCTTATTGACTTTGTATCAGGACCATTGTGTTTTCAGAGGTTTACTAGGTTCTTGTCCACGTAGAATTTGAGTTAGCTGATTAGATATGCTTTTAATGCTGATGTTGTGTCATGAAGAATATTTTTATGTAATAGTTATTCCTGAAAATCCACCTTTCTTTGGAGTGATAGATTATGCAATCAAAGTTATTCCTTGTTACTATGACAAACATATATAATTTGAGAATTGTCATTTTTATTTTATTTAACGCTTTATTGTTATGCAAGATTCCTAAACAGTCAAGAATTCCAACTTGTCAACCCAAGTTGGAAGTTTCCCTGTTAACCATTAATGTCTTGCACGATGAGAAACTATATAATAGTAAAATAAAAGGTGTTGTTTTCATGAAAAGTACGCACTTCACTATATTTCAATTTGAGTGCGTGTTTGGTATTTAATCCTTATTATAAAGATGCTGTATGCTAAAAAGTTCTTAGACACGGTTGCTTTAGTCGTTGATTTAGCTCTTTTCCTAGAATTTAGGGGTGTTTTGTTGTCAACGACGGCCATATTCTTTGTGCAGGTAACGTCAGTCTATTGTCTTATGTAGATATATTTGCCCCGAAACTGGGTTTGACATTTTAAGTTGCTTTGGATTATTTTAATTTCGACAATGCCCATATTCTTCGTGCATGTAACATCAATTTGATGTCTTATATGCGTAGTCAGATAGATGCATGTGCCTTGAACCTTGGCTTGATATCTATAAGTTTTTTCGGATCGATTGGTTTCTTTTTCTTTTTCTTTTTTTATATAATAAAAAAATAAAAAATTTAGAGAAGGGGAAGTTTTTAGGAGTGATATGTTGAGTCAACCCCACCACTGCTATGGATTAATTTAATCTTGCAAAGAAGTAAAAAAACCTAGTTGTTTCGTTTGGTCCATGGTCACGTCTAGAACTAACGTGACCCGCTCCACTAGTTCGTATTTATATTGGATATGCATGCGATGCGAGGTATTCATGCATATAATTGAAAACGGATTTGTAAAAAAAAAAATTAGTATTATTGCATTACACTCATTTCAGGGTTTTGTGTCGTATTACAAAAGAGAAATACACAAACAACTAATGCACAAAACTAGTAAACCTAGCACAGGTTCTTACGAAAAAGGAAGTTTCCTACAGCGTAGAAAGGAGAAATTAAATGCTTAGTAATTTCTTGGTCATTAATATTTGGAAGCTTCCATTGCTTGGAACATATTTGTTTCACTAACACACTATCTGAATCTTTCCAAGAAATAATCCTCTAGCGACTTTGTTAAGAAAACCCCATAAAATATTGAACAAAATTCACCATATATATATACTCGAAGTTGGTGCAAAATCCTCAAAGCATGATGCCCAAAATGTTTATTGGTATGGGTGTGGGATTGGATAGGATACTTATGCCTGTGATTTTGTGCATTGTTGGAATCTCGGTTCACAACTCAACGTCATCAACCTCTTTTCTAGTGTTTTCAATGATTAATACAATAATTTTTGCCATACTCGTGGGAAGCCGCAAACCCTCTTCAGCCGAAGTTGACAATATTTTGCCTTTACTTCCATCTTTTTACGAAGGAGAGGCTGAAACACAAGATAGTTTTTTAGAGAATGCAACGGATGATGAAGTTCATGAAAGTGATGATGGATATTGTGAATCTCTAGTTAATGTTAAAGAAGAAAGTAGTGATGACAATGTTGATGAAATGACAACGCAAGAGCAAGAAGAATCCGATGACAATCTGAATACAAGAATTGAAAACTTCATTGCCAAGGTCTACAAGGGATGGAGTGAAGAGAGCCATTGGGATAACTGTGGCTTATTAGATACATGAGTTACGATAGAAGTGAAATTGTGATTTGTTTTGGATCTAGTTTTACTCAAAAGTAGCATTTTATGTGATTGAGCATTAGATTCTAACTAGTTTTATGTTGTATTATTTTAAACAGAGCAAAAGCTTATGATAAGTTGTGAGGTATTAGGTCGAAACTTCCATGCTACCATTATATTGCAAATTAAAAACAAATCAAATACAAATTCTTAATTACTTTCTGGGCTCAGCTCAATTAATATAATTTCTTGTGTCCTAAGGCACATCACAATCAATGTATTTTCTTGCTACGGAGTAGATAATACAAAAAGTTGACATTTGAAAAGGAAAGAAAGTCGAGCAAATAGGCAACCCATTTCCTAAAAATATTGCTTACGCACTTTTAGAAGTATATATATACATATTTAATAATTCAAAATTCAACTTTAAAAGTTCTTTTTTTTTTTTTTGGAAATATAATGAAAACTAAAGCAATATCAAAAAAAGCCATATACTGAGCACAATTTTGGAAGACTAACTCCCCTCAAGTCATTACGAAACAATTCCAAACAAGTCGTTGGAGGGACATCCAGCACAATCAGCTGTCCATCCTGATGAGGTGCATGAGTAGCAAGCCAATCAACAACAAAATTACCTTCTCTATAAGTATGATTAAGCTGAATAATCCAGTCTCTTTGAAGCATGCTACGAGCTCGGATGATTAAAGCAGAAAGAGGATGACTTACGTCACACCCTTTTCTTATAAATTCCAAAGCCACCTTGGAGTCACCCTCCACGAAGACTCTCCAAAATTCCTTATGCCAAGCCAGATCCATACCTGTCAAGAACCCCCAAATTTTTGCTGAAGTAGAAGTACCACTCCCAAGGAAATTTTAAAACCAGTTAACCAATTTTCAGTAGCATCCATTATGACTCCACCACATGCAGTCCTTAGCTCACTGTCTATGCTGGAACCATCCACATTAAGTTTAACATAACCCTCAGAGGGAAAATTCCAGTGAATAAGACGTTCCTCTCTTCTAAGTTCCTGATGACCAATCTTAATAAGGGTTTCATTAGCCAATTGAATATCACCACAAGTGTAGGTAATGCGCCTAATGAGACCATACTTCGAGGTGCTAGTTTGATCAAAGAACGCCTTATTTCTTCCCCCCCACAAACACCAAGCTATCACCCCAAAATACAAAGGCCAAGTTCGATCAGCTTGAAACGGACCTTTTAATCCTAGATTTGTCTGAATCCATAGGTGAAGATCCATGGAGAAAAAGTCACTACGGTTATCAGAAGGAACCCAATGCTCCCATAATTCCCTGGCACCAGGACAATCTCTAATGGCATGTAAACTATCCTCAAGATTATAATGACATCTCAAACACGCTGCATATGTAGCCATGTGACGATGCACTCTACGAACATTAGTTAAAAGAGAACCTTTGTAGAGAAGCCATAAGAATTGTCTACTACGTTCAGGACCAGGCCAAGCCCAAATTACCTTCCAAATCCTATCCTGATGATAATGCGAGGTACCCATGAGATAGTTATAAGCTGATTTCACTGAAAAAAACCCCATCTTGGCTACCTGCCCAAATAACACGATCCGGAGAAGGATCCACTGTAGGAGGGAGCACAATACGAATCTTGTCTAAAACTGAAGTAGGAAGAAGGTGCTGGAATAAAGGCCAGTCCCAATTACCATAACAAGTTACAAATTGAGACGTAGACCAATGAGTCATAATAGGAGGAATAGATTAAACGGCCAGAGAAACAAGTTGAGGACATCCTCGCACCCACGAATCCATCCAAAAAGACGTATGAACCCCATCACCTAAAATGATACGAGAATTCTCTAGAGTTTGAGGCCAATACTTAACAATAGCCTTCCATAAACCAGAATCATTTGCTGAAGCCGAGATACTTGGAATGAGCCTCTCCTCGACCTTATACTTGCTACGAAGGACCCGAACCCATAACGAATTATGATCAGTCATGATACGGTGACCTAACTTCATGATAAAAGCCATATTATTCTCTTTAATTTTACGAAAACCAAGCCCCCCTACATTCTTCGGCAAACAGACCGTCTCCCAAGAAACCAGGTGAGCTTTCCTTCGTTCAGAAGTTGATCCCCAAATGAAATTCCAAGTTACACTCTCAATACGATCACACGTACCACTAGGAATAATACAAGTTGGCATAGGATATTGAGGAATTGCAGTAAGAACTGACCTAGCCAAAGTTGATCTTCCTGCCAAGGAAAGAGTACGTTGATTCTAGACATTTAAACGAGCTTGCATCCGATTTAAGATATAGCCAAACGTACTCTTTGTAACACGGCTATGACGAAGAGGAATACCCAAGTATTTACCCAAGTCATTCGTAGGAGAGTAGCCTATCAACTGGCTTAGATTCTGCACTCGGTATGATTAACATTTCTGGAGAAGAAGACTTTTGTTTTTTCCTTGCTAACCTTCTCACCAGAGCATCTGCAAAAACAATCAAGAATCTTATTAATAATAACAGCTTGCCCTTCTGTGGCTTCTGTAAAGAGCAGAAGATCATCTGCAAAAAATAGATGGGAAAGCAATGGTCCCTTCAATTCAATCTGATAGGCTTCCAAACGTCCTCCTAAACTGCTACATTAATCAAATGAGCAAGTCTTTCCATGCAAAGGATGAAAAGATAAGGAGACAAAGGATCTCCCTGATGAAGACCTTGATTAGGAGAAAATTATGTCGTAGTTGATCCATTCCATAACAAATTCATTGTACATGACGAGACACAACACATGATCAGAGAAATAATATTCTCAGGCAAACCAACATCCACAAGCGTGTCTTTCAGAAACTCCCAAGAAATCTTGTCGTAAGCCTTTTCTAAATCAACTTTGACAGTCATCCAACCCTTACCTCCTCTCTTTTTATTCATGGAATGGATGATTTCCTGAGCCACAATGATATTATCCGCTCTTTTTCTACCCTTAATAAAACCACATTGATTACGCATAACCATAAAACCACATTGATACGCATAACCAAGTGAGCCATATGAGATTTCAGCCTATTAGCCACAATCTTAGTTACAATCTTGTAAATAACATTACAAAGGCTAATAGGTCTGAAATCCTTAAGTAATTCAGGCACATCAATATTAGGAATCAGACAAATCAAAGTTTGGTTAACCTCTTTGATATTATCCGGATGAAGGAACACACCTTTACAAAAGAGATAACTGACTCACCCACCTTATCCCACTGAAATTGAAAGAAAAGAGCATTAAGCCCATCCTCCCCAGGTGACTTGTATGGACTAAAAGAGAAGACTACATCTCTGATCTCCTTACTGTTTGGCATAATACTCATCGTGTCTAAAGCATGCGCTTCAATAGCTGGAAAAAAGCCACGAACTGGAAAAACCGATTTAGGTAATGGATCTTTTGTGTACAGATTTTCAAAGAAGGAAACAACCATTTCCATTAAAACCTGCTGATCACCAATCCAAACTCCCTCCGAGTTTTTCAACGTATCTATGTGATTCCTCCTACGTCTGGCAATTGTCACAGAATGAAAGAAACGCGAGTTCCTATCTCCAAGAGCAAACCAATTCAATTTCGATCTTTGAAACCAAGTGATTTCCTCTTGAAGATAAATCTTGTCTAGTTCCCTCCATAGATCCTTTTGCAACATCTCAAGGCTATGATTGTACTGATAACTAAGACATTTATCAATACCTCTAATCCTTGCATGCAAATCATTCTTTCTTTTCAGAGCAATCCTATAAACATTTCTATGCCATTCCGAAGCATTAATCTGAAATGTCTCCATAGCATGCATCCAGTTTACATTGTTTGACCAACATCCATTAACCACCTCATGAAAAGTGCTCTTTGTTAACCAGGACACTAGAAAACAGAAAGGACGCTCCCCTCTCGGATAAATAGCAGGTTGACCTTCCCATAATAACACTGGTCGATGATCTGAGCCAAAGAAAGGCAAGTTGAAAGCCACACGGTTAGGGAAAACAAAATTCCAATTATCATTAGCACAAACTCTATCGAGACGTTCCTGAAGATTTCTTCTTTGCCAAGTGAAAATAGGACCTTGATTGCCAATGTCAGACAAGCTACAATCATCTAAACAATCATGAAATTCCCTCATGCTATTCCAGTTATGCCCATTACCACCTAGCTTCTCATACTTATACAAATAAGTGTTAAAATCACCTGCTATCCCCAAAGAAGCATTCCTCATGGACTGATCAAACAGTGAAGAAAGAATTTCCCACAGCTGAATACGTTCCTGTCTTCGCGGACTTGCATAAATAAAAGTCATGAACTCCTCTCTATTTTCTTTTACCCAACAAATTTTAGTATGAACAAGTTGGTGATGAGAAAAAAGAACATCCACTGAAACTTCATCAGTATTCCAAAGCACCCAAATACCGCCAGAAAAACCAACAGCATCCCAATGAAAGTGACCAGAAAAACCAAGACGCCGAATAGCTCTATCCGCCATAACACCACTCAATCTGGTTTCTGACAAAGCCATAACGTTAATATTGTATCCATGAGAAAGGTCCCGAATCAGAGGCGAAAAAATCCTTTCCCCATCCCCTCTACAATTCCAGATCAAAATATTCATAAAAACAATCTTAAATTTACCCGAACAAAAACCGGCCCTAAGAAAGAGCATTGGTATAGACCGAAGTCGCACCGAAAACGTCCAAATTATCCAAAGGGATAGAATCCTTATGAGTTTGATAAAAATTCCTCATTAACGTAAGAGCATCTGGTGGTCTTCCATGTTTACCTCCATTATCCAAGCCACTAGAAGAAGGAAGAGTCCCTTGCTGATCATTAACCACATGAGACGTCTTCCTCTGGAATTTAGATAAAGAAGGGTGCAAGACAATTTGTCTATCTTAGAAATCTTCCGACATATTCTTCTGAGAATCAATTTTAAAATTATTCTATTGAGATTTTGCACCTTTTGAAGCATTTAATCTGCCTTTGCTAATATTAGCGTTCTGGACCAGCTGATGAACTTTAGCAGATGATGCAGTTGCTTTCTTCTTTTGGTTCTCTTTGAATTTTACTCCTTGACTTTGGACCTCTTTTCTCGACTTGCCCGCAGATAGGTTAGCAGATGGAGAAACTATTTTCATTTGAATATCCTTTTTCACCAACAGTTCTTCATTATGAGCAATTAATTCCCCATGATTAATTCGTGTTAGACCAGATTCAATGCTGATTGAATCAATCACTGGAGAATCGGAAATAATTAAGATATTAGTATCCTTTTGAGCCAACTTAGCAATAGCTTGAAATCTTGAACCTGATTGAATGACCTGTCTGTGATTAAGATGAGAATTGGAAACTGTCTTATTACGTAACGCTGCATTATTAACAACATCAACTTGTCTCCTACCCGATGGTAATGATTCCTCCTTTGATTGTGCTATGCTCTTTGATTCCTCCTTTGATTGTGCTATGCTCCTTGATCGACGGTTACGCTGCACCAGCATCCAATTCCCAAACGGTTCCTTCTTCGCCGGAACAGAATCTTTTTCCGGCTGCTTATGCATCACCGATTTAGAAACTTCAGGAGAATAAGCCGTAATATCTTGTTGAAGATTAATATGGGAACACTGATCCCTTCTATGCCCATACTTTCCATAAGCAAAACAAACTAAGTGGAGACCCTCATATCCAACGTGGAAGATACGATCAGCAATCCGGAATTTGGACAAAAAGCCTTTCCTAAGATCAACTTCTACACAAATTCTAGCAAACTTTGCTCTCTCTGTAATATCACCTTCACCAGAATCACGTTTCCTGATAGAGTTCCTATCAATCTTCAATGTGCGACCAAAAATACTACCTATATTCCACAAATGATGAGAGGTATAGAATTCAATAGGAAGTCCTGGAATACGAATCCAAACTGCCAGCTTTTTGATCTCATCATCATAAGGATTAAAATATTGACGCCACAGTTGAACTACCACATAATGATCAGCTATGATCCAAGGACCATCCTCCAAAACATGAGAGTAATCATTCTTATTGGAAAATCGGAACAAAAAGTAATCATTCTCAAGATCAATGAACTCATATGTGCCTAAGATATTCCACATTCTCAGTAAGCGATTGAGTAAGAATCTAACTCCAACTTTCTTCCGCAGAAGTTTCACAATCACTGCCTGTCTCCAAGGTCTGCAACCTTCTAAATGCAAGGCTTTTGGAAAAGAGTACGTTGGGCAAAGAGGATCCTCCTCACCATCAACCGTAACAAAGACCTCATCCCCTTCTTCTTCGTCCTCTTCCTCACGTAGTTTTTCTACCCAATCTTCCTCATCGCTATCAGTAGCATGAGGTCCTCCATTAAAACCAAGAAGAGAATCTTTATATGACACCAACTTCCTGTTAGATGAATCACCTGACTCCTCCTTCTTTTTCCCCCGTTGCTAGCCACATTCACCTGGATATCCTCCTCTTCCATGTGATCATCCATAGGTTTATCTTTCATAGCAGGGCCTTTAGCTTTTTTTGTGCTTCGATGGAGAAGATCTTCCTCCTCCGCCGTAACATCTCTCGCCTCCTTACCGGTTTCTCTATCTTCACTCATCTGTTCAACATTAAAAGTTCTTATCATATAAATCACATTTATAAAATATTATTTTAATTCAAAATTATTTAGAACTTTTTTTTTTTCGGTAAACAAATTATTTAGTACTTTATTAGTATATATCAAAGTTTAAGGTAATATATATTTTAAAAATATATGAAAAATAAAAAATATTTAATTGTATTTTTATTATTATTCAATTTTATAAAATTTGACACAAACAATCAATGAAATAATTAATAAAAAATCATTATATATATGATGTTATTAAATGATAAAAGAATGCTAATTTAAACCGGTATAAATTATATTGATCCCTCCTCGGACATGAATTATTCAAGGACTGAACTCCTAGTGAGATACTTTCGGAAACTAAATTACCTATTTACTCAAAGAATATCGTATTAATATTCTGAGTAATACTCAGTGGCCGTCTCAGATGATCATACCAATTTATTGGCTTAGTGACTCGATAAAATCTTAAGTACTTGGTTTAATGACTCGAGAAAATCTTAAGTACTTTCAAAGCAAGAAAAATTTCTAGCTCTATATCTTTTAAGGGTTTGTTTTTCCTGCAGTCAAAGAAGATAAGTTATCTACATTGAGCCTAAAATGACGTCATTTTAAAACGGAAATCAAGGTATTTTTGTAATTATAATTTATTTCAGGGTTATAATAGTCTTTCTCATTATAATTTTAAATTTTTCAATCCAAAATGATTGTTTTGAGAATGAATATAGATAACTTATCTAGAACATTAAAGGCATCTTTTAAATGTATATCACCTCTAGCTCTGTTCCATCAAATATGTACCACTTCGATTATATCGGTCATCAATGTCTCCAACTATAACTATATTTTTCATGCTATAATGATTGAGATAATAATATTCAATGATACAGAACAAGAGAAAAATTTTGCTCTAGGAACTCCTAAGAATTTCTTAATAAAACGACTTTTTTTTCATATGGAATTTCTCAACTCAATCAAATGATTCTTTTAATATGAAATCTCTCTCTCTCTCTCTTATCCCTACTTGCTCACAAATCCCATTTACGGGGAGAAGATAAGGGCTATTTTTTATGTACGAGATGAGATATGACTGCAAGGGAAAAGAAAGGTGGGGGTTGTAGAGTTGCGCAACAACTCCAGCTACGTTATGTTATGTCACTGCTTTCATTAAGAACTGGAATTCATTCATTTCTAAACAAGCATCAATATCCAGCCAACAAGTTCTAACTATCCAAATATTATACACATTCCACAAATTGACGAAGGAAAAAAATGAAAAACACTATGATTCTGCAATATTACTCAGTAATATGGGTGACAAACCATGCGTTCTTAACCAAGACCTGTGCCTGCATCCTTGGGGGGTGCATCAGCCTTAATGCGGGGCGGCCTGACAACCCGATCAATGAGCCCGTATTCAAGAGCCTCCTGTGCATTGAAGCGTTTCATCCTGCTCAGGTCTTTGGTAATCTGAAGAGATTCATAAAAATTAGTTTTCAAGCCAATAACGCTTATATTCTCGAATTTTGATATAAACACCCAGGAACGGAGGAACTAAGCTACACACAAATCATAAAATGGATATGAAACAGTAAAACTGAAAGGCACAGAAAGCCAATTGTTGAAAAAGCACACCCTTGTTGACGCAGTGTGTCAAAGTTGAATTTGACTTCATCCCCAAAGAAAAGCTAATTATTTTTCATGAACTTTTTTTTTCTGTCTTGCTGTGAGTAAGTTGGTTGGTAAAGCAAATATACAGTCATAAGATGCAAACCATAACAGGAATTACACAAACTCATTTATCTCCATGTATTTCACTGTTGAGTGAACTGACCTTCTCAATAGGCTGGCCTGTTTTGTTAGCCAATTCATTGAAAAGGTAATCTCTGATTCTAAGAAGTTCATTTGCTTCATTACGAATGTCATCAGCCTGACAGAATTTTCATGTTGTTAGCATCAAAAGTAAAAGCAATCCCATTCATACATCTGAGACGTGATACTAACAACCTTAATCTCCAACAGAAGACAGACATACCTGACCACGAGCAGCTCCTGCTGGAGATTGGAGAGCAATTCTTGAAAGAGGCATTGCAAAACGATTGCCCTTAATACAGCAGAACACCATGAAAAGATTAATGAAACATCATAATTATAATCATAGTCCTAGAGAGGTCAATGGACTTGAATGTGACAAACCAATTAGACAAGAATGTGGCAAACCAACAGAATGGAACAGAAAGGGGAAGCTTAGGAGTCAAATTATGATGGAATTAATGACTGAAAAAGTAATTCAATGAGTATTACTGTTGTTTCTTTTCATTTAGTTGGGCTTTCAATGTGATCCCAAGTCTCTATGGGATGTCCGCGTTTAATTTCAAACTACAGACCAACTTTTTCATTGTAACATACAGTACCACGATTGATATTACCGATAACATGGTCCTCCCATAAAAGATAGGCTATGCTATAAACATAAAACATACATGTTGGGTGCACACCTGTAGCCAGAGAAGCAGAGAAAGAAACTTATTTTCTTCTCTTTTGGTTATATATAATGATTTAATGTCCCAATAATTAAAAATTATACTTAAGCATATTTCTTAATCATATTAGTGGTGGCGGTACAAATGTATGATACAGAGATAACTCTCCAGCAGACAAGTCTAAAAAGTCAGTACATCATAGGTCATGCTTGATGAATGGGAATCTCTAACCAAAAAACCCAAACTAGACAGACTTAACTTCTACAGGTTGTATTAACAGACAGTGATAATAATATAGTACCTTTTCTCCAGCTGTAAGAAGAAAAGCTGCAAGATTATAGGCATAGCCAACACAATGGGTGGCTACAGCACTCTGCAAGCTCTGCATGGTGTCATAGATAGCCATGCTTGGTGTAAGCTGCAAATATTTAAAGTATAAGCAAGTTATAAACATGACTAAATAACAAGAAGATGAAGCAAGAAATAGAATGATTTAATTGACTGATCATCTAACACTACAATCATAAGAACTTACATCCCCACCAGGACCGTTGATGTACATGTAGAGCTTCTTAGAGTTGTCTATACTGTCAAGATACAGCATAGTTGCCAATATTTGGTTACTAAATTCTTCATCTATCTCTTGTCCAATGAAGATAACACGTTCTCGATACTGCATCCAATAATTCACGTTTTTGTAGAAATTAACTTCACAAAAGAGATGAAAATCTAAAGGAAACTTGAGATTCACGTATCTATACCTATGGGAAACAAAGCAAACCACCATATGGATAAAGAGTAAAATTTATGATATACACTAAGGTGTAATGACTTACAAGGGCATTCCATAAATCAACCCATTGCCAAGTTCCTTCACCAGGTGTCCTATAAGGGACTCTAGGAGTCCCTATGGGCATCATTTGAATTTGTGCCCTTGCTGGTTTGTGGTTAGCATACCTGAAAACATGAAAATTTATACGGCTTGCATCAGTCTGTTTATTCCATGATATATGATATCCATGACAAATTCTTCTATAAAGTGTGAGTGTGTAACATATCGTTCATTCTCAAGTGGCTTAAACCATGCTATATCCTTACTTCCTCTAGGTCAAAGAGATTATTAAGTAAGGAATGCTCTTCCCCATTAACATTAGCAACAAAAAAAACTAGTTATAATAAAAAATATCTCACGTTATGCCTGCTATGAACTCAATTTCGGTTTAAATTTACTTGCTAATCCAAAAATAATATTAACAAAGATATGAGTGGATCACTGGAGCTTCCTTCCTGCAGCAGGGAAAACAGCGTTGGAGTGAAAGCTTTATGTTGGCAGATTTTGGGAATCAGAGTCTGTAAATCTACCAGGCATACAATAGGAAAATAATATGGCAGAGCAACCACAACAATCGAGCAACACATGATCATTTCCCATTCCCAAATGAGTTAGTTACCAAGAGGAAGAAAGGAAATAAAGCCGCAAAAATATTGTTCCTATCATGAAAGGTGTCAATGTCAGTTGCAAGTGCATAATTCTAGTCATATAATCAATTAATTGCTGATATAAATGGAAGTGTAAGAGTAGCAATTCGAATCCAAAAGATAATTATTCATGTTACGGTTTATTTTGCAAGGTTTAGCACAATAAAATGGCACACAATTCTGAATAAGGAGACATTCTCAAAAGAAATATATATATAAAAATTCCTATAACCCAAGAGAAAAGAAGATGAAGCAGAGGGTTACCGGCACTGAAGGATCTTGTGAACTTTTCCATAAAACTCAGCGGTTACGTTAGGTTTATCCGCTCCAAAAGGAGCTGCAATTAAAAATGGTGAGACATAGGAATGAAGATTGAAGAACAACAACAAAGTGAGGAAAACGTGGCCATACTTGCAGATTGAAGTTTCAATCCGGAGTAGAGTTTAGTGCCACAACTGCCACATAACAAGAGAAAACACAGTAAGCATTTGTTCAAAGTCAATTATATAATTTCTAGGAACTGTACCACACGCGCAAAAAGACAGAGAATGTAAACCTAGGAGGAGGACAAATACGCGGTGCAGAACCGGTCGTGTAGGGTGCTACCGCCATTTTGAGGTGAACCAGGATGGAATAACACACAGAAGATTGCAGATAGGGAAGGCACTCTCTGCTTCAAAACCTGAACAAGTTACAACTTACAAGGTAACAAGGATGAAGATGAAGACGATGCCGTTTCATTCTTCCTCTCTTTCTCTATAAAATACGATAAAATATATTTTATTTCATTAATACATTTATTTATTTTTCCTCCAATTCAGGATTTTTTTTATTTTATTTTTGGGAAAAGTTCAGCAATGTACATGTGATTTGCTTCAGAATCACAATCACCTATGCCTATGTGATTTTTTTTATCACATATGTCTCTGTGCTTTGTAAAAAATAAAAAACCACAGCGAGTGATAAAAAATATACCCTTTTACAAATTATATGGACATATATGATAAAAACAGGAACATAGATAATTTTGAAGCAAACCACGTCGGTGAAGTTTTCCTTTTTTTTTTTTGGGGTACAATTCCAATTTATGATTTTAGGATACAAATATTCTTTAACTTGTATCATTCAATCTACTTCTCAAATAGTAAAATAAAACTGAATTCAACTTTTTTTCTAAAATATGTAAACAATAGTATTTTAAATTGAGAACGAGTTATCCCTTTTTCCCATTATTGCAAAATGTTTTAATTTGAGAACGAGTATTATCGCAAATTCGAAAAACTGTGCATTAGGATTTGCGCTATTTTAATTTGATTTGACCATTTTATTATAAAAAATCATTTTCTCATATATTCTTGTTATCTTTTTCGTTTTTTGTTTTTTTTTTACGATGAACTCCATCATTTGTTATGTCAATGTGCCTATAACATAAAAATATTATCACATGTAACGTGACAAAAAAAGCCCTTTTATTTCATTAAATATTTAAACATAGCCAAAGAAAAAAATGTTGACGAAAGACTCGTCCATAACTGTTTTAGTACATCTTCGTTTATATTATGTTTTCATCTCTTAGAAAACAAAATATAATTTTTTTAAATAAAAGGTGCATTTTATGCATTTCAAAAAACAAATATATAAGAATTAAGATTAACGTTTCTCCTGTCATATAAAATAAAATTATCTCCTGTAACCCCAAAACGAGTTAGTCCAAAACAATATTGTTTTGAGATCCAGAGAAAAAAATTATAACGATAAAACTAATATAACTTCATAATAAATTAAAATTGCAAAAATACATTTCTCTCAATCTCAAAATGACATTGTTTTGATATCACAGAAGATAAATTATTTCCAGTAATTGAAGAAAAATTAAATGTATATTGATGGCATTACTCTTACATTATGCTTTTTTTTCCGGAAAAGTTACATTATGTATTTTTGGTACAGTAACAAGAAGAGTAGAGAAGCTTGGATGCAGGATTTTGCATTAGTATTAAAACAGGCATAAATAGCACAGGCAATATTGTCCAACAATTGAAACAAGCCAGCAACCAGGCCTAAAGTACAGGTTAGTCCACAATATGAGAAGTAATTAGCTGCTGCTATCAACCGCACATTGGATACTTCCAAGAAGAACTCGACAAAACAAGCAACCAAACACCAATTATTCATAATGGTCATCCAATGATGTGTATATCATCCTGCAGTAAAACGCACATGTCAGAATAATAACTTAATAGCACCTCTTTTCAATGAATACGAGTCCTTTTTTCTAGTCACCATACCAAAATAAGGAGAGGAAGAGGATAAAAACTAGATAAAAGAGTTTGGCAAGTCGTAGCTTCTTTTCCCCAGAGAGCAAGTTGAATATCTCCGTAACATCAACCAGATGCTTTCCTTGTCTGTACCTGATCAAAGGTATCGAATATGCAATTAGCAGGAGCATACTAAGCACATTATTCCAGTATACTAAGATATGAAGGATGATTAAAGCAAAAAAAAAAAAAAAACTCATTCCCTTTGATCCCCTAGCTATAAGAAACCTTCTACCAAATGGTAGCTGTGAGTGTGACAAATACACACATATATGTAGAGGATGTTGATCAGAAACTATTCCTGAACTTCACACCTGGTTATTCCTGCTTTACTTGACAAATAAGGGCACACCCAAGGAGCGCAGACTGTGCCTCAAGTACTCCAGAGTTGCTGCAGCAGCAATAGGTCACTATTGGCTCAATTACTAATTCAGACATCAAATCTTTCCCTCAAGTTACATGGTTGAGATTTAAGAACCAATAAACACATCTAAAATGGTAGCCAGCTTAGCAATTATATGAATAAATAAACCAAAGAGCCATTTACATCTATTAAGTTGGTTTTTGTCTTATGCAACATGGGCATATCATCCTTTTGCTGGTTTACAATATTAGGGATGTTAATGGTCGAGCCTTCACTAATCCTCAAATTTTAGAAACCAAACTGAGCAATGGGAACTTTTAACTTGACGAAACTGAACCACTGAGTCCAATTTGGTTCGGATTTTGAATTCCTACCAAAACTAAATCAATTATATCATCAATGTTATGACCTTTGTACAAGACGCAAATTAAAGAAGAAAATAACATAAACTCAGTACAGCTAGAAGAGTAGTACAAGATCAAGCAAACAGAGTTTGAGATTTGGAGAAAAGATAAAAACAGTTTGATGCCATGGGGATTCATCATACAAGAAAAACACTACCAACCCCCCCCCCCCCCCTCTCTCTCTCTCTCTCTTTCCGCAAATTAAACCAAGCTAAGCCAAACAACAAAGTGAAGAAATGAACAAAACTTTCATATAGTAAAAAATAGGGTTAATCAGTTTGGTTTGATTCTCTTAACACTCTTAAAACTAAAATTATAATGCAGAATAATGCAAAGAACAAAATTCAAATTCAAACCCCCGCCCTCATCAAACATCTTGGACACATGGATATTTTCCCCTTGAAGTAGTTTTTAGAAACATAACATTTAGTAATTATTAGTAGCAAAAATATAGCCTGCTTGTCTCAGGTGCCATCCACTCTCAAATTAATGTGCAGATATGGATTGTTTCAACTTAAATGTTTCATAAAAACATTATATTCAGTAATCAGTATCATTCAGAAACAACAAACTTGCTCAGCTTATTTGCAGATCTGATAGAAAACTTACAATCTCACATTGTAGTAGAGGTAAGGAGCACAGAACAGAGACATTATCCAATGCCCTGTTACAAGGTAGACGCAACATAAGACACCTTGTGTAATATACTCAGGCAAAACCACTTTGTTTATTCGAGATGAGGAATCATAAGGATTTATATAATCAAATTCTAGGTCTGCCAGGCACATTAACTGCAACAAATGTTAAACAAAGTCAGCATATGTCAGATAAAACCAAAAAAATAAAGGGTGATGGTGTGCCAAACGCAAACAAGTTCATTATACAATGAGAAAATGTATTATGATAGTATGGCGAATAACACTTAACCATCTTCAGAAAGCTCTGAAGCAGAAACATATAAGCAACAAAACATGGACTTTGGGACAAATGAGATTCCTAAATCCTAGAATATGCGATAGATCAAGATGAAGTCATGAGAACAATAAGCATAACAAAATTAGGTCTTTTCCAGTAGATAGATATCTTTTCAAAATTAGGGTAGGCATCATATGCAATCTAATTATGATTATATTTATCCATGCTTAGAACTTTCAAGTTTTATATACAAGATGTTTATATGGTTGTTGTGTATGTATGATAAGGAGTGCGATACATTTATTCTGTCCATTGAAGTTCATCTTCTGAGGAAGTACTCGAATGGGGCAACTTCACACTGCAGATTCTCTCAAACCATTAGAACACTAGGTGGGAAACCCACAGACCCCTAATTTTCATTCTGCACTGTCTTCTCTCGAAGTCAGTAAGTAAACTTTTCATTTTTGAACTTCTTTCAAACATGAATTGATTTAAGGTGATTTTTTTCATCCATTTCAGCAGGAGATAGCAATCAAGAAGTTGCATATGGAATTGTATAAATATACCCAGTTGAATGCTTGGACTAAAAAACAAAGCTTTGGATAATGGGGCGTTTTAAATTGCTTTCAAGTTGACTTTAATAAGAAATTTGAGAAAAACAAAACAAAAAAAAACAAAAAACAAGATAAACAAATTAGGGCTTGTTGGGAATGACCTGGTAAATGACGAGGACAATTAAGGCAATAAGGATTAAGAAGGAGATGAGCCACGCAAACAGATCAGCCATACTCCCACTCTTCTCCTCCTCCTCTGATTTTCAATTTCACTCAAATTCAGTTCCAACTTAATGCGTTCGAACCTTACGATGTGAACTGCGCACGATAGCAGCTATGCAGAGCTCGTGCGCATTGGGCCCTGCACGGAGAGGAGCACAAGAAACCTTGGAGGTTCGGGATTCCGCAGGTACTCTCGGTGAAGCTAAGAATCCTGTGCCAAGTTAGCAATCATAGGATCATACCAATCCCCTCCAGAAAAGAAAGGAATCAGTATCTATTTAGAAAAAGAAAAAGAAGGAAAGGAATTAGTAACATCTTTCTATTTCAAGAAATATATCCCTCATTTATACCTTATTATTTTTACATCATTTTTTTCTTAATTAATAAAATAAAAGGAAAAAACATTTCTCCTTTATTTATATAGCTTTGTGTCATTTAAAATCTTAACTCTTAATTTTCGTCAATAAATTGTTATAATTTAGCAAATATAATTATATAATAAATTAATAATTCACAATAAATTATAATTATTGATCGATGAAAATTAACAGTTATAATCTAAAATGACACAAAATTATATCTCTTAAGTGAACAAATATTTTTCCCTATTTTTAATGCGTATTCTCTTTCTCTTTTCTACTCTGATTTTGATACTTAAAATATTGACTAAAAATGAAAAATTAGAATACGGTTAAATTATATATTAGTTCGTATAATTTACATATGTTTTTAACCATTAGTAAAATAACCCTTGTTATGTTCTCCTTAATTTATAATAAAGGTGGTGGTATGTATCTTTGAGATGATACCACTTTTGTCCATGTTTTTATACAGTGTTATTGGAATCAAATAAAAAAGGAAAATATATTTCAAAGACTGAATTAAAGATAAAAAAAATCATAAAGACCAAATGGATATAGTATACTTTAAAAATATTTGAGCTTAGTCGCTTATCTTTTTCGTTCTAAATAAAGAGATAGTTATATTTACAAAAATTTTATTTACAAATTATACTATGTACTTTCGAGAGAACACTAGGTTACACTATATTTTCTCAGGAATACATAGTGTAATTTGTAAATGGATACTTCCCCTCTAAATAATATGTAACATGGTATTCTAAAAGTGCTATATCTTGCCTATAAGTGCCTAATACATGTTGTATGCCAAAAAAATAAAAAAATAAGAGATTTTGCTAAATAGCTAAAAAAATGTCTCAACTAATATTAAATGGATTGATTATATTAAAAATAAAGAAAATTTTGGGTAGACCTAATTATAACGTTTGATTAGAACTTTTTTATCTCATAAAACTAGAGGAGTAAGATTCTAACAAAATATTTTTTAGTCGTCTGTGCCTTTACATGCAGAGGCGGTGAAGGAAAAAAAAACTATATATATATATAAAAAGAGTACTTAATGCGTTGTTACCCTCATGAGATCATTTGCAAAATTTATTGTAGAGTTTTAAAATAGTTTTAATTAAAAAAAGTGTGAGGCTGAGATGCTGCTAAACTGTTACATATTGTCATAAGTTATATATAGTTGCGGTTTAAGGGATGGGCTATGTTTGAGGCCTCATTTATTAGGGACGCTGGTGTTGGTGGATTGCATAGAGAAGCTGATAAGGGGTTGGTTCATATTTTATCATACTTTATCAGTTAGCTCTCATTCTTCATTTTGATTCTTCTTCTATATCTTTCACTTTTCAATCAAATAAAATATACTTTATCAGTTCGTATTTTCTTTTCTTATTTATATTATTTTGTTTTTTAATGCATTTTAAACTTTCTTTACAAAAAAAATTTCGAAGGCGTTGCCCCTAAATTCCTCCCACTAAATTTGTGGACATAAATAATATTTTTTGGGTCCAGTACTACTACCCCCTCATGTAAATTCCTAGTTCTGCCACTGTTTATATGTATATACTTTGGGAAAAGTGTGTGTCATTTTAAAGAATGTAAAATTGTGTCATTTTAAAAGAGAGAAAGAGATAGATAAAGGAAGAGAGAGAGAGAGTTGACAAAAAAATAAAGATGTGGGTCCCATCTCTTTGTGAGAATGAAAGGATATAAGTTGTGTCTGTAATCGCTCAATTTTGTCCTCACATACCAAAAAAATAAATAAATATATATATATAAATTAAAATTTATTTAGTAAATTTCTTTATTTCATCTAGTCTCCTAGTCTTTATTATTATTATTATTATTATTATTATTATTAGTATTGTATCTATTTTTACTTTTATTTTTTAGTTGCAAACCCAAAATAAAAGATAAAAAAATAGAAGTTACCAGTGTCCTTGGTTGTTACAACCTATGTAGCACCGATACCGACACGGGACACGTGACACGATACGACACGACACTCCGACACGTAAATTCTAAAAAATATTAGATTTCGACACGTTAGGACACATTTTGATATCAAGTAATATTTTTAATTTATGTAGTGTATATTATATTTAATATTCAATAATTTAACAAAAAAATAAAATAAAACTTAAAATATTTATCAATTTTGCAAAGAAACATAAGATATCCTAAATATTTATTTTAAATGGTAATTGTAATCCAACGAATCTAATAGTTGGAACTAAAAACTCAACGCAACGCAACCTTTGAACTTTTTTTGAATTTATATAATGCGTGTTGGAGTGTCAGAGTGTCGGAGAGTGTCGGGAAGTGTCGGACACGACACGTCAGAGTTTTTGAAGTGTCGGTGCTTCCTAGGTTACAACAATAACCCCCTTATGTGGGTTTCATCAGCCTCAACCCATAATTCAAACCACCTCTGTCAATCAAGGTAACCCCACGTGAACAAGTTCAAGAAACAAGGTTCAGGATAAGGAAAGCAGGGAGCTATGTTCAGGATAAGAAAATCAGGGGAATCGTGTTCAGGAAGAAAAGGAAAAAATCAGAAAAAAAGCAAGGAAGGTATTATTCTATAAATAGGAGGAGGCTCTAGGAAGAGTGGGCGGGGAGTTTTCGTAAGGAAAGAGAGGAGATAAAAGTGAAGCTTTAAGGAGAGCAACTTTGGGGAGAAGAACAAAAATGGGAGCTTGAGAGTTCTTTTCTTTTCTAAAAAAAAACAAGTGTGTATCAGTGAGATTCTTTTGTTTGAAAGGTACTCTGATAAAGGCAAAAAAAGAAAAAGGAAGGGAGGCAGGATTTGTTTTGGAGAAACTCTTATTCTGGTAATTTTGTTTTTTCTATATTATCTCTCACTGCTATTTAGCAATTGATAACTCATATTCAGATAGTATGATGGTTGATTTATAAATTTCACATATCTCAATACCTTATACTTGTGTTTTAAGAATGCTGGCATGAAGGATTTTATTTGTTTGTTGCTGTTGATGATGAATGCTTGTTCTGATATAGCTTGATTTGTGTACTAAGTGGAAGACACATACTGCAGATATATTTATTTTATTTTTATGTTGACGTAATGTTGTGGCACATAGTGTCTGACCCGACGATGAATTCTTGTGAGTCGACTTCTCTTTGTTGTGCGTGAACCTCAAGTAGGAATGCTTGTGTTATTTTTTCGTATTATTGCTAATGGCTTTTATCAAACGGAAAGCTGTCATGGATTCAAAGTTAATATACATAGTCAGATTTTAATACACAAGTGCTATAAGACCATTGCGGGCCCACATCGTTTTGATCGTTAAGTCTAAATATTCTTAAATAATCATTGTTATAATACATTTATATGATAGTTGTGGGCTGAACATTTTTTCTCCTTTGCCTGAACGTAATATGGTGCCAAATGTTTATTATTTTTATGTTATATGTTTACTATTCCCAATGTATTTCATATATAACTATAAAATAGTCGTTCTTTAGTTATTTGTTTCATCCCATCGTTTCCCTATGGATTATTTTTTTTCTTTTTCTATATATAATATTATTTCATTCACTATATGTTAGCTACTAGCTACTGGCAGTTCGCTCTTTCTCACATTGCTTTTCTTTTTTTCGATTCTTAAGCTAAATGTGTTTTATTGTGCCAAATTCTGTATGTCTAGTCAATCTAATTAACAATTACATTGTTATTATTATTATTATTATTATTATTATTATTATTATTATCATCAACTATGTAGTTGATTATGAAAACGAATCACAAGTTATATTTATAGTAAAAAAGGATTAGCTGAGCTGTGACGGCTTGTTAACTCTCAATTTTTTATTTTTGACTTATTTTAGCCGTGACGGCTTGGTGATTCAAAATTCATTTAAGTTTATCGTAAAATAACATGAAATATATGTTAAAAGGATTAGCTGAGTTGTGACAGCTTGTTAATTCCTTTATTCTTTAAAATCATTTCGACTGTGACAGTCCGATAATTTTAGACTATTTAGTAATAATAAACAAACAAACAAAAAATCAAAGTTTTATTTAAAATTATTGATTTTGGGTTAATTTAAAATAGAATAAAAAATTAATTCGATATCAACTGAAATGGGAGTCAGCTGAGCCGTGACGGCTTGTTAACTCCACATATTTATTTTGACTCATTTTGACCGTGACGATTTGGTGATTCAAAATAAAATCAAATTTAACATAAAATTTACGATAACAAAAAATATTAATATGAATATTATTATTCTTTAAAAGAAAGGATTAGCTGAGTTGAGAGAGCCTGTTAATCCTGCTATTATCATTTTGAATTATTTTAACTGCGACAGTTTGATATTCCGAAACCATCAAATTCAAAACTTTCAAATTATTTTCTTTAAAACTACTTTCAAAATTAAAATCAATCAACACACAAATATTTTCTACAGAACGACGTAGCTTTAAGTTCCCTATTGTACCGAGGGATACGTCGGAGCGGGACTCTTCCCGTCAAACACAAAAATAAAATTTCAAAATTAGTTTTCTTTTCCAACGATAAATTTTATTTATTTAGGGTGAAATAAATATTTAAAATATTATCAATAATTTGCACAATTAATATAAGGTAACCGTTTTTTAACGGACGGAGTAGGGTACTAATACCTTCCCTACTCGTAATCGACTCCCGAATCCATTTCTTTTGTTTTCAAAGACCAGTTGTCTTTAAAAAAGGTTTTTCCAATGTTTTCCTAAATAAACTCTGGTGGCGACTCCATTGTTTTAACCATTCAATATTCTTTCGCCGTCACGTCGCGATACGGTTGCGACAGTGTCATTTAAAAGGATAAACGTTTTTTCCATATACTTTTTATTCGATTATATACTTTTTATTTTAATTATAAAATTTAAAATTATATAATTTAGCCCCCTCTTAAAAAAAAATTGGGTGAGTCTCCTCATTTTGTAAGGAAACAATATCTCAAGAGACCTGAAAATGCAAAGCAACTAAGACCAATCTTACACTGCAATGTCCTCTACAAGATCCTTACTAAGATTCTGGTTAATAGATTGAGGTCGCTCATGAAAACTTAAGGCTTTATTTGAGAGTTTGGAAGGGAAAAGAAGGAAGGGGACCCAAAGGGAATGGAAGGAAAGGAAAGAAAGGGAAGGGAAGGGAAATGAAGGGTATTTCTTTCATTTATTTGAGAGTAAAAATTATGGAAAGAAAGAAAGATGCGGAAAAATGATATATTTTTTCCATTCTACATTTTCTTTAAAAACTAATATAATTATTATACTTTAAATTTAAAATCAAATTTAAAATTTATAAAAAAATATTTATATACTTTTCACACTTAAAAAAAATCATTTTTTAGACGACATTTTTTCATAATAAACAATGAAAATTCTATCGAAAAATAAATTTTTCATCTAAATATGTTCATCGAAAGGCAACAAAATTTTTTATCTATTAAATATTTTGATGAAAATAAATTTGCGTCAAAATTTTCAACGGAAAAAAATGTCATCGAAAAATTTCGAGAGGTTTCACGCAGATTGATGACATGTTTTTCTGAAAATTTTCTTCGAAAAAAGTTTCGATAATTTTTTTTCTACAAAAATCAAATTTCGTTGAAAATTTTCAAGCACATTAATGACATTGGAGAGGTTTCACATGAATTGATGACATATTTTTTATTAATTTTTTGACAAAAGAATTTTGTTGGAAAGTTTTAACAAAAATGATTTCTTAAATATTTTTCGTCAAAAATTTTCGACCGAAAAAAGAATTTCGTCGAAAGTTTCTACTAAATTTTTTCGTTGAAAATTAAAAGAAAAAAGTCATCAATCCACCAAAAACCTCACCCCATGCTATCAATTCACTTGAAATTTTTTGACAATATTTATTTTCTGTCAAAAAATTTAAAAATTTTGAAAAAAAACTTTCATCCAAATTTTCGACGGAAAAAATAATTTCGTCAAAATTTTTGACGAAAATATTTTCTATCCAATTTTCAACCGAATTTAGATTCTATCAAGAATATTGACGGAATTTTTTTCATCAAAAATTTCTATTAGTGATTATGACCAAATCTTGTTTCATCTTTAATTTCGTCTTTAGTTTCAACAAAAAAAATATTTGTTGTCTCCATTTTCGATGGAATATAATTTTCGTCAAAAGTTTCGTTACTATTTTCGACGGAATATTTTCTGTTGATAAATTCTGTCGATTTTAGAGACTTTTCTCATAGTATCTCATTTAAAAAATATTCATATTAATGTAGTTTTCACATTTTAATACAGTGATGAAAAAATAATTTCTAATATTTTTCCCCACAAATTCCCCAATTTGGGGAAACTTTAATTTTAAGGATGTGAAGGATTGTGGAAAATTTTACAAAAATCCTCAATTCCCTTCTCCCGTATTTTTAAACTCACTCACATGGAAAAGGTTTAATAAAACCTTCTCCTTCCTTCCCTTACCATAAAATACAATAGTTTTGACTAAAATAATACAATTTATATCCTTTAAAAGAACAAACACTAATCACTTTAAGAGTAAAGTGATTTTTTGTGAATAAACCTAAAGTAGCATTTTGAATTGTGTTTAGTACCATTTTTTTACTTTATGTAGATTATCATTACAAAAACATTTTTTTGGTGAAATTTATTAATATATAAATAAATGTCAATAAAACTTTATAGTCTGATACTGATAAATTGAAAAAATAGTGTATTTTAGAATGAATTCTTATTAGTACAACATTTGTTTGTGATAAAGGGGCATTTAGGGCCGCAAATCAGCAATCATCAATGTGAAGGAAATAGAGTATTCATACATTATCTCAAAACATATTCTTAATAATTGGATTTGTCAAAGAATAAAAAATTATTAAATGAGAAGCAACGATTCTAAATCATCTCAATCAATTATTTTGATAATACTTTTATATTGAATAAAAAAAGTAAAATATATTTATAATATACAAAAACAATAAATACACTTAATTTTTAATTCAATAGTTTCTTTATTAAATATTATAAAAGATGGTAATTAAATATTTTAAGAAGATATAATAAATTTTTAGTATCTTAAGAATTCAAAATACATCTAGTGATTTAATTATGATAATTACTGAAAAGTATTAAATGTATCTTTATTTCTTAACTTGTATAAAAAAATACAGTAACAAATCTTAATAATTATTTTAATACTTAATAAAAATGAAGATATTCATTAAGAATATAAAAATATTCAATAATTTCTTCTTAAAGTTTCTTGGTTATTGAACTTAAAAATAATAATAAAGACAAATTGTATCTGATTTCAAGGTTCGGATGTATAATTTCTTGATCACTTTGTAACATATCATTTATATATTTATTTGGTTGGTTGACTTTTTTATTCTTCTTTTAAAATCAATTTTTCATTTTGCCTATTTTATCAAATTTTATACTAATCTGGGGTAGAATGATATATAATTTAAAAAAGTGGCAGATTGGTACATTATTTAAGAAAATAAGTAAAATGATAATTTGATTTTAAAATAGGGGTAAAATGGTCATTTAGCCCATTTATTTTGTTTGTTTGAAAATTAATTTTGTATAAAATAATTACACAAAAAATAAAAAAGATATAAAATTGCTTAAGTTATAAGAATATAACTGCATTTAAATAAATAATCTTCAAGTAAAATACTTAAAATATTATTATGTTAATAATACTCTCTTATTCTATGTATTAAATATAATAAGAAAACATTAATTTAAAAAATACATATAGAATTTTCTTAATTAGAAAGAAAAGGAATGAAGTGTAATAAAGTGAATTAAATTATTAAAGTTATTTAAAATTAATATGAATTAACTGTATTTTGATTCATTCTATGCCATTTAATATTTTTACTTCCCAAAATGAGTTTATGACCATTTTATAAAAATAAATCATAACTCTTGTATTTTATTTATTTTACAAATAAAATGTTATTTTCAATTAATTGATTGTTAAGTGAGAAGGAATAACAAAAAATCATCCCAATTAAATATTCAAATAATTAAAAAATCATTAAATATTTATATATTCCTAATGGAAAAAATATTTCTATTTTTGCTACAAATTTTTTGTTTCTGCCACACTCATATGAAAGTGAGTGGATTCAGTTATAAAGAGAGGAGAGAGAAAAGATTAATTAGACTCACTTACTTTTATGTGAATGTGGTAAATAAATTTTTTCTACAACAAAAATAGAAACATTAAACCTTTCCTAATATAACAAATATACTTATTTTATTTGATATTTTTTTACTAAGTATTAGGAAAATTAGTAAGAGTCTATTTTAAGGTGATAAAATAAGTTTTCGACACATTGAAAAATCAAAAAACATTAGATATTTATTATTTAAGTAATTATGGTTATTTAAAGAAAAGTAATAAATATTATGAAATAATTATGTGGCTAAGATAAAAGCACTTATGTCACTCGAGTGGGAGGTGGAATTTAACCCTATCTCAAGAGTGACAAGACTGGTTGGCCAAAACAGCTTCTGTCCATTTAAATTGTCATGTTTTGTTTTATTTTTTCTTGAGTAAATATTATTTTTGGTCTTAAAAAAATATAACATAATTTTAATCTCTTAAAAAAAATAACTTGTGATCTTTCTGAATTCAAAATAAAGAGACTAACGTGAGTTTTCTTTGAATTTTTGAAGGATAATTTAAGTTTTCTTTGAATTTTTGAGGGATCACGATCTTAATTAATTGAGTCTATTTTGAATTCTGACAAATTATAAGTAAACTTTTTTTAAGGGATTAAAATAAATCCTGTATTTTTTCTTGACGACGAAAAATGGTATTTACTCCTTTTTCTTGTGTAGTTTTCTTGTCGTTTTTCTTTTGGTTGTTGCCCCTTATTGTTATTAAAAAAATAAAAGAACAATAGCTATTTGTAATTTTCTTATATTATCGACATGTGTCAAATTACCTACCGAAAATAATAGTGGTCAAGTGAATGCATAATTAGGAGTGTACATGATTTGATTTGTCAAATAGATTCGGTTTTATTTTTTCACAATCAATTTTGGTTACAAATTAGTTTTGAACAGATTTTAAGATAAAAAATAAATAAAATAAAATAAAAATGTTGGTAGTTAAAGAAAAAGAACTAATTCAATTCTTTTAATTCTCAATCCGATTCGAATAAAATGATTTGATCGTTAAACTAATTTTGTATAAAATAATTTGATTCTTAAATCAATTAAATAATAATAATTTTTTTGCCAACAAAGGTGGGCACAGTTGGCTAAGGATTTGGTCCATACCCCTCAAGGGCGTGGGTTCAAACTCCGCTGACCGATGTGAGGATTTTGTTGGTGGATAATATGTAATCCCTCCCAGAAATAGGTTAGAGGATTTTTCCTGATCCTAGTGGGATACCGGTGTCTAACCCCACTTAAACTTTTTTGTTATCCAAAAAAAATAAAAAAAATTAGTTCAATTCAATTCGATTCACACTTCGATTCGGTTGTTTTTGATTTTGCATAACCCTACGCATAAGCGAGATAAGATAGGGAACAGATCCACTTATATACCACCAAATTTTTTTATAACTCTTACAACCAATTTAATCACCGTTGATTTCCGTCAATCGAACAGTTATAATTTATTAAGAATTAATAACATTTATTGTGTCACATTTATTAATTTCTAATAAATTATAACCGTTAGAATGATGAAAACAACAACGATTAAATTGATTGTAAGAGTTGTAAACTTTTTTGGTGGTAAGTAGATCTTCCCCAAGCGAGATATTCATATTATTCCATAAAATTGTGTACACAACAAAGGCAATAATCATGCCGATTCGGTAAGACTTGTAATAACAAATATGGGTGTATTTTTCATCACAAAAGGAGATGCGTAGGGTCTTAATCTATAACAGGATATGCACAAACATCATCCAAGGAAATGCAGAATCAAATGCCAAACTCTCTTTCTCACAGCAATAAGAGGTGGGAGGCTTTAAGCGGAGAAAGAAATTCCTTGACCCCAAGTTCATTAACTTCTCATCTGGCTTCAAACCTGCACCGCCTCAAAATAACCCTTGTCATGAAAAAAGATAAAATCAAACAAAATATAAATTTGTTAAAAACAAATTAATTATAATGAAGAAAGAGATTTATTTAAAGGTTTCGAATTTGTTTGACTATCATGAATTAGAATAAATTTTAGAATTTTATAGTTGTAAATTCAGCTGAGAATTCCACATTTTAAATTACTTTTACTATAACTTTTTCTTACTAATCAATTTTGCATCGGCTGGTTCCACCTTTCATGTCAAGGCCATTTTGACCTTGTGTGGTTCATTTCATCAAGAATAGCAAAGTTGTAATAATAAATATTGGATAAGATATTATATATATATATATATATATATATATATATATATATATATATTATGCTTCCCTATTTCTCTCCATTATAATTAGATTATGAGAGAAAATGAAAAAATCAGTTGAGATTTTGATCTAATAATACTGTAGATGAATGAATACATAAAGTAGCCAAAAAATAAAATAGCATAATATCTTATTCCATAAATATTTTGCTATAAGAAACTTAATACATTTGTTTGAATAGTTGCTAGGGAACTTACTATGTTTCTTTTTATTTAATACTCATTTTTTGTACTTTAAAAAAAAGCATTAAATAAAGAGAAACCTAGTAGGTGAAGTATATATTATAATAATTGTAAAAAAATTAAAGCTATCATCATCCAAGAGAATCTAAACAATTTTTCCTATCAAAACAAAAATGCACGTAATAAAAACAAAAAATAAAAAATGTTGATGCAGAAATCAATGGATCAGTTGGTAAAATTTTTTATATCATGTTACGTGATATTTATTTTTCCCGAAATAAAATTAACTAGAAATAGTAAGTGTAATTTATGTAGTGAAAATAGTGTGAAATAATGAGAAGAAAAAATACAAAAAAGAAGAAGCAGTGCAGGTATCAAAAGCAGAACCTCGTACTTTCAGCTCAAAATAGAACAGAGAAAGGGAAAATGAGAATCGGTTATTACTTTGGAGAGTGAAAGGGGAGTAGTGAAGGTCGTAGCACTTTGGATCACTGTCCTTCAAGAAGGGTCTCCTCTTTTCCCTCTCGTAAAATACCAACGCTGTCTTTATCAAATCTTCGACGGTTTCCTCACCCAACATCAGCAACTGTATGGCGCCCAAGCTGTTCTCGATGGTCACCTTAAGTAGCAGTTTCGATGGCCGAAGAAGAGACTCATTATTTTGTGTGGCCGGCAACGGAAGCTTGAGCGTCAGAGGAGTGGACAGGAATCGGCGAACAAGACCTGAGGGTTTTTCAGGCAGTAAGCTCTGGTGTTTACGGCCAGAACCCAACGGGGCCTTCCCGGAGAATTTTCTCCGATGACCCGGTGATGGAGAGGTCATGCTTATAAGGATAAGTATTTTTGCTTCTTCTTTTTTTCCTTTTATTTGCTTTGTTTAGAGATGGCTTCACATGTGTTGGCAGTGTTGCAATATAATTAAGGCTTCGAAAGATGTTTGAGAAGCGAAAGTGAGAGCCTGAGGTAGAGAGAGACGGTTTAGTAAATACTAATAAAACGCACGCGCGTACCTCAAGGTTTGGCTGGTTTGAGAAGCTTCTCGGAAACTGGTGCAGTTTTAACTTTTGCTTGAGCAATTTCCTCGGAAAGTGGTTTAGTTTTAACTTTCGTTTACAGAGATCACTTTTACATTTGCAACGAATTTACCTGAAAATTTTAATAATAATAATAATTCACTTGGAAAAATGTTTCTTGCATAGAACAACAAGCTGCAAAATTCATATTGGTGAATAAAAGGAAAAAAAAGAAAGAAAAGAGACGAAGAAATGAATAATGAGTTATGATTCATCACCAAAAAGTGAATTTATTACAGTTTAGTTAATACTCTCGATTTGGAGTCCTAATTATACAGTAGTTGTGTTAACAATTTTTTATAAGAAAATATTTATCATTCTTATAATTTGATTTACTTAAATAAGATTATTTAAGTAATCAATAAATCAGTGAAGAAATTTTAAAAAAAAAAATTTACGTAAAGGATGATATCTTATGCTCCCAATTCCTTTTTCCTTGTCTCTATCAACTCAACTGAAAGTTGCCTAGTCAGTTATAATGTTTGCTATACATGAAAAACTATCCTTTAAATGTACCATGGAAATTCTCATACACGACATAAACATATATAGGTTATGTACATAAACGGGTGAAAACGGTGGTTTGATGTAACTGGGCCAACCCGTGAGATGGACCCAAGTGACAATGGCCCAGTTGTTGCTATAGGGTTAAGAGACAAAAAGGAAGTTACACAAGCCCAGGCACCTATCACTCATATGACCATAGGATCCATACTCAAAGCAGATCATGTGAAGACCGTCATATATACTCAACCTTTTTCATTTGCCCCTCTACTTTATTATATTCACCCTGTAGAGGTTGATTTAAGTTCAACTCTACACATAAACGAGTAAACCTTCCTCTTGCCATTATTGTAGTATTCTGATCAACCTTGATGAATTTCCTAAGCCAGTTTCCAATCAATTGAAAAACATTGAAACCAAAATATTCCACAAAGCAATCAAACCTAAGCAACAATTCGATCAATACTCATCTTGTAAGGCTGGAAATTCAACGTCCACTACTAGATTGCTAAGTAATGGTTCATGATAATCTATGGCCCTTCAGTCCATGCATGATCTAGATCATCTTGATTTTCAAAGCACACAAGGAAAAAATCATTCTCCGGATTAGTCACATGTATCCTTCTTGGCCTTGCCCACATAGCCTTTAGTCTTTTCTCGAGGAACGTCAAAGTGACATTCTTCCCGAGGAGTTTGACAATCAAAGCTTTCCAACATCACTTCTTGATCCGCTTTTAGTTTCTCTAGTTTAAAATCCATGCATCCATTTAGATCTAATTCGTAGGTAATCTTAGTTTGCCTATGTCTCCTCCACCTGATGATCCTCAAATCTACATCTTCATCAAACTCCTCATTATGTTTCGCAATAGAGCCTCTCAGAAGGAAGGTTGTTGATTCATCCTAGCCTAATCTCTTATCACAAGTGAATTGAATTCTCCTAGCTGAAGTTTTCCTTCTCGATTTTGTATTTCTTCGTACTCCATTAATTGGAGATTATCGTATCTTCCTCTGTTGTCAACTTTCTATTCGTTCTCTTGCTCTCTGCAATAATCATTCTTTTTTAGATTGTCTGTCTTAAATTTTACTCTTTCTATCACCCTTATTTTCTCGACCTTAAATCATTGCAATAGTTAATGAATGTAAATATATATTAATTCTCTATTGCTGACATTGCTTGAGGTAGTCCTCAAATTTTCTTTGTTCCCCCCATCCCAAACAACTAGTCATTTGGAAGGTGTTTGTATAAGGTGATTCAATTAGGTCGAGGAATTGAATTAATTCTTAGGGGAAAAATATTTAATGTTACTTTAGACAACTTTATCTAATATTCACCGAAACGATGTCGGTTTGAGATTGAAAAAGTAAAAAATTAGATAGATAAATACTATTATAACATTGAAATAAATTAAAATTACAAACACACCATAGTTTTCATCCCAAAAAAATGTCGTTTCGGTGAATATTAGACAAAGTTATTTAAAGTAACTTTAGAAAAACGAACCCTAATTGTTATACACAAATTGAAATGGTATATTTTAATATTCTTTAGTGAGACAAAAATATCATATTAAATACCATATATGTAAATAGATTAAATGCACGTTTTACCATTTATCACAAAATATATAGAGGTTGTCCCGAAAGGCTAATTTATTTTTTCCGACTTTTTGACTCATGCGTATTCAGAGAAAACATTATATTTAGAGACATGATACATAATGCACCGATAATTTTCATCCATAATAACTTTATTTTTCTAAAGGAAAGTAATATATCGATCATCTATACTTTCATTTATTTTAATTTCCTCGTCGCTTCTTTTAAATATATTTTTTCACTCCTTAAACACCCTCTTATAAGCTATGGCATATATGTTAAGTATGACTCATACTTCACATTTAGATGACGATTTTTGTTGGCGGGATGCAAAAATATTGTTGCGGACCTCAGGTTTATTTTATTTTAATCTTTTTTTAATAGTTTGGGTTTGAACTCATGAATATATAGTTAGTGTTGGCAATTGCGGACCCAGAAAATTTTGTTTATGTCTGCACATTTAGTGGCGGGTTCGGGTACAGAGTCTTCAAAAAAAAATTTAAAGAAAATTTTAAATGCATTAAAAAAACAAAAGAATATAAATAAGAAAAAAGAAAGAAGAAAACTTCAATTTAATATAAAAATAATAATAATTAAGAGTCAACTAAGTTATTATAATAAAACGATTATAATCAAACATAAATAAATTAGAGAATCAACAAACAATCATGATTAAAACATCCATAGATGCACCGAGCAGAATTGAAAATTCTGAAGTAACTCCTACAATAATTATGTTGTCAATCCTTGAGAGTAGTCAATAATTTCTATAAAATCCTAAAATGAACAATCCATTTCCATAGAATTATGTACTATTAAATATTATGTCAACATATACCCGTTGCCAAAACAAACTTTGTAAGTTAGAAGAATAAACAAGCATGCTAGTAAGTAAGATAAAAAAAATTTCCAAAAATTACTGGGTGCACTTGCAGTCATATGCAATGACGTGATCCGCCAACGAGTATTGGTTAGGGTTTCTAAGTCTATTTATATTCTCATTATAAACAAAGTACTTTGTAACGAGTGCAGAAAAATATAGTGAAACATTGTTGGACTTAGCTCATATATATTGGATAAATCAGTTTAGATCTATGTCTCCATTTCTTTTCTTTTTTCTTCTTTTGCTATTCCGTGTGTGATTGTTCGGTCCTAACAATATATAACACATTTCCATCTCTTTTAAGAGCTATAATATCATTGATTCCTTGTAGCTAATGACATATCCATAATCCCTGATCTGGATGTGAACGCGGGTAGGAGATATGCATGCTCTTTTGTTGAGGTAACTGGCGAGTAAGTGAATCAATTATATATATTGACCGGGTTAACAAAAAATGAATGAATGATATTGTGGGAATATATACAATTTGGTCAACAAAAAAAATGCTCATGAATAATGATCTTTGAAAGTGAGTGACGGTGAGATTAATCTCGAGACAAATTCAAAAGAGATACCGTACATGCAAATAATCAAGAAGACCCACATTGTAGTTTTAAATGAATGGATCCGCCATCGTTTAAAGCTCCTTTTTGCAAAAGCCAGCATGACCATTAACAGTCACCATTGCTCTGCACTAAATTGCTTTGTACTCGATGCATTCTTCAACTCCGCATGCAAATCAGTTCGCACTATATTGCAGATCCTATATGTGATGCAATGTCATCAATATTTTACACCTGGAACTTAGCACAAAACATGGAACAGTTGGAGAATCTTTTTCAGTGTGTCATTTTAGTCCACGCACCAAATCATTTGCACCCATCACATCATCGTCACCGCATAGACCACTTATCTAATTGATGGGTGGGGGCTGAGCACCGGAGCCAATCATTCAGCCTCAAATTATTCCCCATCCTTGACCCATCCTATCATTTTTTTTCCATATGGATTGGCGTGTCACAAACTGTTTCTACAGCTAGCTAGAAGCCCTGGAATTATAGAGGGTGTTTTATTTCGTGTATATATATACACGAAATAAATATAATGCAATCGTGATGGTGGTATAGCTGTTAATTAAGCGGATTGTGCTCAAGGAATGAATTGTTGGGATTCAAAGGTCTCTAATTAAATTCTTAAGCAAAATAACTTAAAACATGTGATAAAAATCTTCGCGCACTCTACCCTAGAAAGGAAATTAGTTAAATATAAATGGGCAAGAACACCATTAGAAAAGAAAAAAAATTGTAATGTGTGGCTGATTATATATGCTCATATTTCTCTGACTGAAAGCAGCATTTTTCTTTTCGGGAATATCTGGAAGCACCATTTAATTTACCTTAAATTTGAATTAGTTTGTAGTACTTATACTCGATGTTACTTAGTATCCATATCACGCGTGCGCACAATGAAGTTTCAAAATTGGATAGAAGTAGTCGTGTCTACGAATGCAAATAGATTGAGTTGGTTTAGAATTTGCTTTAAAGAGGTTAGGTATGTACAAAATATTTTAGTTATGATATAGTGTGTTAGAAATATATTGTAATTAGGGTTTCCTTATTTTGTATTAGGTCAGATTATATTAGGTTTGAGCTTAGCCCATTAGTTTGTTTATATGTTGTACAGCTTTCATCAGTCAATACACACAGTATTATTTCAAATGTTCATCTCTTCTCTCTCGTTATTTAACATGGTATCAAGAGCCTAAGGAACGTTTGAATTTTTTTTTTCGATGAACACACTGTTTATTGTATTTTACAAAAAAAAAATTTCCGAAATTGTCTCGTTGTCAGTTTCCGAACGATTTTCTTCCGCTTCACG